CTTTAGCCTGAGTAACACACTACTTATTCTCATGAAATTTTTTTTATTTTTAAATAATGTTATTCTTTGAGTTAAGTTACATTTGCTGTTATAGAATACTCCATTCATCAATGCCCCTTTCATGAGAAAGCGGTACTACATGACGTTTTTTCTGAGCCTTTCTTTGGATGCATATATTGTGGTTATTATACAGATGACTACTAACAAGTATATGAAAGCATGAGATTTTTGCGAGTGTGAAGAAGAGATTTTATTAGCTTACTGAGTTGTTTTAAAATAATTAGAAAATTTGGCAAATGCAGGCAGTCTCTTACCGTCGCGTCCGAAATTGTGACGTACAATGGCTATACTCTGCTCGTTTTTTGTCTACATAGGATATTTTTAATAGTTTTTTATTCATTATTTATTAAAATAATAACTGAAATTATACCTCATTACTAAAGATTGTCATTCTGATAGTGATTGCTGTATCTTCGATGGATTAGAATTTTATCTTCAGGCATGGGAACCCTGGCATCTACTGGCTTCTAGTTTATACTTAGATACAGAGAATTTGGGATGAATAAATATTTGCTTGCAACTATCTTACGACTTTAAAGTAATTTGTATTAAAATTTTATTAGAAAGATTCATTAGTTGATTGGTAAGATCGAAGATAATGTTTACCTTTCACTGTGTTAGATGACTAAAGTCAAAATAGAAAAAAAGATCTAATGATGTTAATTTCTTATACCATTGAGTTGTAAATTAATAATTCACACTAATTAGAAATTTTTAAAAAAAATTTATACCATTTTTGTGTTATAGCTTATGAGAAAAGTATTAATTAATATTATTTTGGTGAAAATAACAATTATAATTAACATTTAATATGCACCAGGAGCTTGTATTTGCGAGACTGCATTAAAATCATTTTTCGATCTTGAAAGTATAAGGATCAGTTATAAATTAACAACTATTTTGTACTTGATTTTAGTAAAACTCTAAATCATAGTCAGAGAAATAAACGTATCTAAGAAGCTATTACTGTTGGTTGGGCTCAGATCGCTGAATAAGAGATGACGTTGTTTACCAATAAAGAACTTCTTACTGCTGTATTATCATACTTTCTAACTCATCTTCCACGATCGTAAAAGGAACTGTGAAATGGTGGTAGACATGGATCTTTACATTAAACCTATGTATAAATTGCATTGTTGTTATCATACGTTCAGGGTGCGTATGGCTGATGTACATAAATCTCAGTGTTCAACTGATATACTAAAGGTGATAGACTTACAGTTACAATTTTCTTGAGTTATAATTTCTTTATGTTCTATTGCAACAAAATAAAAATATGCAAGTCAGTTTCCACCAAAACCTTTTATAACTTATGTTTAAATTTTTAGGAATCAAATGTTTTAATGCGTTAGCTTTTGAGCTTTTAGCTATCGTTTTTAATGTGTTGATGGCTCAGAAGCTCTTTGTTAACTGACAAATAGATGTATGACAAACTGTTTATATACCTCTTAGAATTGTATAGGATCCTTATTGCAGCAAGAGTTTGTTGTATACCCTTACTCTTTATAACTACTCCTTGAAAATTTATAAAATTACCATTGTTATAAGCACTAAGTAGTTGTAAATAATATATTCAACAATTATTACATGAATTTTTTGTGAAGAAACTTTAATAACTTCATATTACAATACTAGTACAACTGAAAGAAATCCGTAGGCAGTGTGTACTTTAACCCCGTTCACATACGCTTCACTAGTGATGTTACCCTAAACTCTTTATTAATTCACTTTGAGAATAGCAACAAATCACTCTAAATTGTAAGTTGTATTTCTTCTAAAAATTTCTTTAGTAAAATCCAAGATCATGTTACTAGACTGTTTGCTTTATACCTTACAGTTATTTTTGGTATTTAATCAGTAGGTAACTAGATCGTATATTTATTTTTCTAATTATTTTTTATTTCTGAATTTTATTGAAAAACGAGTGCTGAATTGATACATTGTAACTCATATGTAAATGTAAGTTTCTCACAAAAGAATTTAAATTAACACACAAATGTAAGTTTGAGTAAATATTAAAGCCTAAAATTGATGATGGATAAAATTAATAGCAATAACTCACCTTCAATCCTGTATTTTGACTTTCACGTCGTGCAATCGGTAGTTTGGTTCCCCCTCTTTTTAAGCTTATAATGAAAGCCTTATCCTCAACCCAGCTTGGTTCACTCAATAATAATAGAGATATGCTTTCACCAATTAGAAGAAGTTTAGTCAAGCAATGATAATGAAGGGTTCAGTAATTTTTGGGTTCTATCAAGTGAAAGGTTACTTTTACAGCTAAAATCAATCCTTGACTTTGTTCTCTGATTAAAGTGTAAATTAAGGGTCGATGCTTGCTCACACATATAAGCGAGCGTGGAAGAGACATATAATGTGCGTGTGGATCGGTGTATTGTATAGCTTAGAAGTACAGAGTACAGATTGGAAGTCAAAAGTATCAAAAGCGATTGAACAGCAGTCAGTCCATGTGTAACTGCCAACTAGCGCACATATGTGATGGGAAGTATTGAATAAACGGAAAGTAAGATTACGTACTGTAACGGTGCCTCACCATTAGGTCATCTCAGGTAGTAAAGGAGCGCACATAGTATATGTAGCGTGTATACACTCGTATATATGCGTACATAGCTGTTAACTTCTTGCGGCTCGTAGTGTGACGAGCACACAGAGGCAGTAGGATACGTGTGCTATATTTGATATTGTACTACATACATACAAAGAACACGACCTCGTTGCCTATCAAGCAGAAGAATTACTCTATACCGGACAAAATCCGGGATGTGATAAAACCATCCAATAGTGACTGGGCAAATTCCATATTCATGATACGTAAGAGGTATGTCAAGTATCGATTTTATCTAGACTTTCACAAGGTAAATGCTGTGACAGTGTCCGACACGTCTCTATCGCCTCATATGTATACCACCTTGCATAAACTGAGGATGGCATGCTGTACTTCAACTCTCGATCTCGGCAGCGCATACCACCAGATACCATTAGCCGAGAAGGCTGAGCCGGTATCCGGCTTTCACAGTACCAGATAAGGGACTTTTTCAGCTCCAACAATTGCCCTTTAGCCTGAGTAACACACTAGCGACGTTTCAGTGGCTGATTAATCGTGTCATTAGACCAGAGCTCGAGCCCTATGCTTACACCTGCCTCAATGACATAATAATTGTCACAGAGACCTTTGAAGATTATTTCAAATGGATAGAGCACGTACTGAAACGCGTTCATGATGCAGGACTTAGTCTTATCTGAGGAAAATGCAAGTTCTGCCAATTCGAGGTCAGATACCTCGGTGTCTTCGTAAACTTAGATATTTTACGACTAGATCTGGCCAAGCTGGAGTCAATTATGGCATTTCTGGCTCCGAGTAACCTGAAACAGCTTAAGCGGTTTCTAAGCATGATTTCATGGTACCACAAAGTTTCTACTAAACTACTCAATGATAGTAGAGCCGATAAACAGGCTTCTGTGCAAGGAGCAACCGTTGAGTAGAGCGACAAACAGTAATGATCCTTAGAATGGACAAAAGATTTTCTGATGTCCCTAATTGTAGTGCAATGACCAGATCTTAAGAGCCAGTACATGGTTCAGACAGACGCCAGCATCTCTGGATTAAGTGCCGTACTGTCACAAATAGTCAACGGACTAGAAAAGGTGCTTGAGTTTGCGAGCCATTCTATGACGCTGGCTAAACGCAACTACAGCGTAATGAAGCGAAAATGCCTCGCAGTCTGCTGACTGCTTATTTTTTGGCTCTTTGATTACTAAGTAGGACTTTCATTCTCTACGTGCTCCCTACTTAAGATGTTCATAGAAGACAGGTAATAAACTGACAAAGTATTATTTAAAATATGCCGTTGAGCGGCAAGCTTTCACTTATGAGAAGGATTATATTCTTCTTTGTTGTTGATAATAATATCTTAATTTAAGACCCTTTTTACCCAATAACCCTTTTTACCAGTGACCCCTTATACTCATTGATCTTTACGGCCACGAAATATTTTTCTTAAAGAAAATGAGTAAATACCCCCTAACAACATTAGACGACTTGAACCAAGACTTGTTTAAATTTATTTGAATGGAGTCAATTATTTTATCGTAACTTCTTAACCGAAAAAGTTCTTTGAATTTAATATTTTCTCATATGAAATGGTTATAATTGAAGTAACAAAAAGTATTGTGTTGTAACTTAGTGATAAATCAAGTAATACAATGCTCTAACAATTTTGTCAAATATTTTCTTTTATATAAAAATTTGATAATTAATTATCAATAAAAGTTAATAGACAAAAATATATCACTCATTTTCCAACTCTTAAATATTTGATAAGTTAAATGTGAAAGAAATATTAGTGAAAAAATGATACAATTTGTTCAGGCTATGTCTGCCTGAAGAGCCGCCACTCTCCAACCACTGGTAGGATATTGAGAGGACTTTTGTAGGACATTATTTTTTGTACTCTAGCTCAAAATGTTGTTTAAAATAAAAGATAGTGGTGGTAAATTGTAATTCTAGTTTAATTTATCTATATATTCCTTGTTATCAATGTTGAAATCTTCTATAACTCAATTTCTACGCTTGATTCAAATTAGGCTGATACAGCTGCTCCACCTTCTTCTATTTGGTAAACGATTAATTTTTAGATATAAATTTTTTTTTCATTTTTTGCTTACTTTCAACTATTCTCGTACATTTATTGACAATATGTGTTTTATTGTATTTTTCAAAATGTTACATGTAAGCATTTGTGAAGTGGAACGACAGGTTGGCCAAGTATAGAAAAATTTTGTCAAGCGGAGGAGGGATTATGTGAAATCTCGAGGTCGTGGAGAGGGAAAAAGAGGGAGAGAGAAAAAGAGAGAGAAAGAAAGAGAGAGAATTCGCCCTCTCTGTAGTCCTGAGTATGAGCTTGCTTTGATGAGGCTAAAGTATTTTAGAGGTGGTATGACAAGTAGAGAAAACATGCGAAAAATTTACATTGTATAGAGAGAATAGAGAGAGGTATCTCAGACTGTTGTATTGTACCTTTTTTTTCTATCTGTTACTTCTGCCTCTCTCTCTCTCTCGGTAAGTCAACTACTTAGGCATGTTGTTGTGTGCATTTTTCTTTTACAGTCCCTAATACATTTCTGACACCTCTGGTAGAGTTTTTCTTCTAGGTAAACCCTAACCAGAAGCCAGGAAGGCATACACCTTGATCTCTTGGGTAATCTCAGCTTCCTGGGGACTAGTTCTGTCATTTTAATTTTGACTGGTGTTTCCTAACCTTTACTGCTCCTTGTAGGATTTCACGTTCGTCATTCTGGCAGCCATAGACTTCGACATCGACCTCCAACATTACGCTCAATGTACATAGGTTAGCGACCTATCGTTTACTGACTTGCTATTGCCCAGTTTAGATCTTGGGTAGCCTGAAACGTGGAGTGTCTTCTACCGTACAACACTACTGAAGTTAACTACGTTACTTATCCATTATATATCTTCTATGCTAATTAACCATCTGATGTAAATAATATCGCTCGTCTAAGTTTGCCTTACCTTATTAACTTGATAACCTGCAACGTTTCTATTTTAAAGCTTTCAGCTGGGCTTACTAAGAGGGAGGTAACGATGATAGAGCAAGCACAACATATAAACCATCTAGCAGGAGTGTTGCTGTAATGTAATTAAATAGTACATTGGTATGTCAGGCAGTTGTTTGTGTTGTAAAAGAGTTCTAAAACAAAAATACAAGCCTAACGTAGTTTGCTTGGTCTGTGATGAACGTTTTTATGATAGCTTTCTTCTTACATATAGCCCCACTAATACTTTATTCGTTGGCAGTTCTAAGCTTTGCCCTGTTTCCGACAACCCACAGGTGAATCTAGTTAGCTCTGATCTCGTCTCAGCATCTATATCATTACAGTCTGGAAAGTAATTTTGACCTCTTCTGTCTCGGCCCTCTACATAGGTTACCTTAATAGTACGTACTGACACATCATATTCTATTGACATCAAGATTGGTTCAATTTGGGAGTATTCCTCGCTAATTGATATGACTGAACCATCAGAATGGTTCAAACAATATATGTCCAGGAATTTAAGGATTTGCAGAAGTCTTTGGATACGCGTATAACAGTGACGGAGGGATGTATGACAAAAGTCCTTTAATATTTGAAGACTCTTGAAAAAGCCAAAAACTTACCCTATATCAGTACAAAATCTTTCTTTAGCATCCATGGACCGTTATTAGGTTGTACTGTCTGGAATTTCTCAGACATCGACCCTACCTCATCGAGATATACTCGAGGGCCCTTTAGAAGCGCTCGAGTTAGACGATGTGAAACTGCTAATCACACATACATTCGACTGGGCCCGAAAGCAAATGAGAACGTCTTGTGTTTAACAAACTACTCCCCTGACTAAGACCGAGGCTCGAGATGTCATCCCCGATTGCTATGAATCGTCTCATATGTCAGGCTTAGAAATTTTCTGGTGCTACCAACACTGTAGTATTTGGATCTAATGGTAAAAAAAAATTATATTTGCGTGCCTTTTGACCTGAGCCACTGTATTAAATATTGTTCAAGGCAACAACAGTTGCAAGAAATCTAAACTAAGCATGCACTGTCATTCGCGGTTATCACGTATTCATGCGTGAGACTAAAGAATTCAGCTCTTATTTATATAGAAACAGAATCAGAGTTGGCTAATCTTTCTGCCTATGCAAGATAAAACAGCCAGCAATAAAACTATTTGCCCCGTTTAGCCAATCAGACATCTTATCCAATTTATTTATAGGTCACATTAATATCAATAGATTAAAGAAAAATTCCTTCTTGCTTGAAGCCAAACTTGCAGATTAACAGTACACTGCTATTGGGTTCTAGAAAAATTCTTAAATCATCTTGATAACGACTCCATTATTTCCATTAACGGCTATTTAATTTATCGCATGGACTGGGAGATGTCAAAGGGTGGGGGTATTGCAGTTTTTGTTAACAAAGCCATAAAAGTTTGAGTATTGTCTCATTCAGATCCTACTTACGACAACACATCTGAATTACTTATTCTCAAGCTTACACTCGGTGCCTTTTCGTTACTCTTTGCTACTATCTATAGGCGCTCTAAATCTGCATACCTCATAAAACATGTTTACTAAACACATAGCTTTCTACCCTCTGACTATAGTGGTAGGTAATTTTTACTTTCAAATTTTCAACTACAAAAGATTTTCGGACTGCTTTTTCTAAAGCAACTATAAAGTCAACAGGAGCCAATAGTCTTTATATTACCATGGTTGAAATGCTTACACCATAAACTGTTTGTCCACTGCAGCTTCTCATCAATTGTTCTTTTAACGTCAAACATTATCCTATATTATGTAAATCGGTGATTATTGCACCCATAATCAAAACCAAACCCCTGCATCCCCACATGATACTCGCCCTATAGCCAAATCATCAGAGCTCTCAAAAATATTCGAACGTTGTATAGACTCTTAACTGTTTACATTTATTGACAACGTCAGATTTTTTGACAAGTACCAGTCTGGTTTTAGGTGAAGACATAGCACACAAACGGCACTCTTGAACCCTATAGAGAAAATTTGACTTGGAATTGAAAATGTGTATTGTACGATTGTTGTATCTTTCGACTTTACCAAGGCATTAGATCTGGTGAGTCACTCTAAGCTGTTAATCAAGCTTCGAAAACTAGAATGTAACGATGGAACCCTTACATGGTTTTACTCTTATCTGATAGACAGAAAACAAAGAATAGTTTTTCAAACCCATTCTATGTCTGAGTGAGTAAATATTTTATGTGGAGTGCCTCAGGACAGTGTCCTGGGACGCAAGCTATTTTCTATGATTATCAATGATCTGCCGAAGTATCTAAAACATTGTAAGCGCATTCTTTTCAGTGATAATTTCCAGATTTTCATAACTGTGCCATATTGACGCAGAAAAGAAGCAGCTACGTTAAAAAATGAAGATATTGGTGAAATTGAGGATTGGGCCGAAGAGAATGGATTGCACTTTCATCAAAGTTAAATTGTGCCACTGATTATGAATAGTCATACTAAGTCAAAATTTGTGAAATCGGACACTAAAAAGTCGACTATCGAATTTCAATTAGATTTTTACCTAATTTTGTTCACTTATATTATATGAAAATACGTGTTTTTTATTTTTACGAAATTCGAATTTTTACAAATTTTATAAGCAAATGAATTTTCACACTACCTTTTTTTTAAATCACGATACCTCTGAAACTACTCAATTAAATTGAACAAAACTTTAAGGAGAAATTTGTATAGGACAACAAAAAAAACTATAACAAAAAATTTTTTTAATTCCTGAATTTGTTAATAAATAATCAAATTTGTTGTAAGCATTTAAATAATCAACAATCTTCTCGTAGGGTTATAAAAATTTTTTTTTGCTATTTTATTCCTTATGATCTAAGCTACAAGTACGAGAAAGAAAATTACTGTATTTTGCATTAGAACAAAAGTTATTGATGATTTAATGAAGACGTCGTGGGCAAAGTTAGATACGAAACTGGTGCGGTAGCCGTGTGTGAAAGATTTTTTTAGGGCAAAAGGCTTATGTACATATGTATACATTTGTATA